GACCTCGAACTTTCTCATCTATCTCAAGCCTCTGAGAACTTTCTGGGAGCAGCTTAGTGGCAAGAGAGCTCTCCCACCTCCAACTTCCAGTCACACTTTCCACCTGAACCCTTCGCTTGGCCATAGACCTGTACCACCTGCACCTTGGCTTACCTTTGCCTGCCTGTTTTACTAAAGTGGGAGCTTCTGGAAAGAGCACAGATTCTGGAGGCAGACAGTTCTGGGTTTGAATCCACTTTTCTGCTTTCTACCTGCATAGTCTTGAGTAAGTCACTTTACTTCTCTGAGCTTCAGTTTTCTCATCTGTAAAGCTCATAATTTTGGCATCTGGCACTTGCAAGACATTCATTAATTGGTAGCTTCCTTCAGTCTTCAATTGGTGTGTAAAGAATGCCTCAAGGAGCCTGCCCTCCCCTAAATGCAGAGGAGAAGGTCAAATGGAAAATATTAGTAAGTGCAGTTTGAGACACGCAGAGAAAGGGCTTTGGTGGTTAAGCCAAGGCATAAGGAAGTGGGTGCCAGAAATCATAGCCACCCAGATCACAGCTGGAAGACTGAGATAATGATAATGCTAGTTAAAAGCAGGAAATGTTTTGAAAACTTATTCTGTATGGGTATTGTGACAGGTACTCTGTATGCATTATCTCATTTAATTCTCATGGCAACTCTGTGAGGGTGGGTATTATCCCCATTTTACAGAAGAAGAAATTAAGGTGAGGAACTTGCCCAAGGATCCACGACTCCAGAGGTCTAAGTCCATGCTCTTAACTAAACTATCTCTAGTTTTGTTTTTGTTTTTTTTTTTTCGGTACACGGGCCTCTCACTGTTGTGGCTTCTCCCGTTGCGGAGCACAGGCTCTGGACGCGCAGGCTCAGCGGCCATGGCTCACAGGCCCAGCCGTTCCGCGACATGTGGGATCTTCCCAGACCAGGGCATGAACCCGTGTCCCCTGCATCGGCAGGCGGACTCTCAACCACTGCGCCACCAGGGAAGCCCTCTCTAGTTGCTTTAATCCGACACCTTATTTTTTCATGTGAGGCTCGGGAGGGGAAATGTTTCACCCAAAATCACACGAAGTGTCTTATCCAAAGGCAGGGGGAGTCTCACCCAAATTTTCACAAAAAGGAAATAGAATATGAGCGTCCCTTCAGGGCGCCGTTTGGTCAAGAAGTTAGCAGAGAAATTCAGATTTAAGAAACATTTATTAAGTACTTGCATCATTTCCATTCATGCTTAAAAGAACTGCCCCCTTAGTACTGTACTGATCAGATGAAAAAACAGGCTCAGAGGGATAAATGTAATTTCTCCCAAAATCATTGGGAGGATTGATTGGGAGGATTGGCATTGTCGGGATTACACATTCAGGTCCAGAGGCTTCCAGCAGCTTCGTGAATCTTATCCCAGGTTCTCCGCTTTCTGTGCCTTGGGTTGACATGAACGGGCCCTCCATTTCTCCAGACCCCGAGTCCGCTCAGAGCGGTGGATTCTGGGATTTGCAGTATCCAGCGATGAATTGAGACTCCGTGGGCCAATAGAATTCGAGCACAGACGGCTGTACCCGCCTCCGCTGCCTGCTGGTTGCTCAGGGACACCCCTCGAATTAGCCAATGAGAAGCTCACGGGTCCTGGTCGCCTGGGAAACCGTGTAACAACAAGATGGCGGCGCCGCAGGCGGCTCTGCAACCCAGTGTGGTGAGTCACGGCCCTAGACCTTTCTGCCCATGGAACCACACACACAGGCTGGGGCCCTCACCTCGAGAACCTCGAGGACATGCGAGACCCGCGGCCCGGCTCCCCCAGCAGACCCCCCCGCGCCCTGGGAGCAGATTCGGGCCCCCGCCTACCGTGGCTACGCGTGGAGGCAGGGGGGCGGTGACGCGGCTCCTAGGGCGGGACTGGTGGTAGAAGTCACGTGGTGAGCGCTTCCAGCTGGGGATTTAGGGGTTGAAGGTGTACAGCCTGCTGGTCCTTGTCGGCGCTGGAGAGCCCTGGGACCTGTGGGGGGATAAATCTGACTCCCAAAGATGTAGAGGCATAAGACAGAACTTTCCTCTCAAAACTTGAGTCTGAAGGGGCAGACAGCCTAACTTTTAGCCGCCTCCGGCTTGAGGCGGAAGACACAGTCCTCCCAGGAGGACCCCAAAGTGAAGGGAGTAGACGTGGCTTTGTCCTCAGGGTCCCCGGTCTGAGGGAGGAGACACAGCCCTGCGCTCAGGAGTCCCCAGGCTGATAGGAAGATACAATCGTCGTCCTCACGGACGACGACGATAATCCTATAATCCATGGGAAAATGGATCTGGAGACAGTGTGTTGGATTGGCCTGGAGTGAGACTGGAATGGGGAAGTCGGTTTGGGGCCATTGTGACAGCCCCAAAGAAGGGCAGTGAGAGTCCCACTAGGATGGCCAGCAATGGTCATGGAGAGGAGGAGCTATGTGTGAGAGACTTGCAGAGTTTAACCTGCAGGATTTAGTAACTGATGGGATTAAGAGGGAAAGAAGGAGGGAAAATTTTTGTGTTTGGATGATGGGGTCCCATTAAGAAGGGGGAAGTGGGAGGAGCTTATTTTGAGGGAAGATGTTGGTTTTGGTTTGGAGACCAGGTCCTTTTCTTTCCTGTGGTAGCTTTATTGAGATAAAATTCATATACTATATACTTCACCCCTTTAAAATGTAAATTTCAATTGTTTTTAGTATTCATAGAGTTGTGCAGCCCTCACCACAATCAGTTTTAGAACATTTTCATCAGCCCAAAAGGAAACGCTATACCCTTTAGCAGTCCACCCACACCCTCCCCGTCTCCCTTTAGCACCTCCTACCCTAGGCAACCACTAACCTACTTTGTCTCTATGGATTTGACCATTCTGGACATTTCATATAAATGGAATCATAACAATTGGTGGTCTTTTGTGACTGACTTCTTTCCCTTGGCATAATGTTTTCAAGGTCCATTCACATTGTAGTATGTATTTCATTCCTTTTTTGTTGCAAAATAATATTCCATTGTAAGGATATACCACATTCGTTTATCCATTCACTGGTTGATGAACACTTGGGTTGTTTCCATTTTTTGGCTATTATGAGTAATGCTGCTTATGAACAGATAGACAAACTTTTGTGTGGATGTAAGTTTTCATTTCTCTTGGGTATATAACTAGGCATGGAGGCCATAAGATAACTCTGTTTAACCTTTAGAGGTACTGCTAGACTGTTTTCTACAGCAGCTGCACCATTTTACATTCCAACAAAGGTTCCAGTTTCCCCTCATCCTTGCCAATGCTTATTAATTTCTGTCTTTTTGACCAGTTTCTTTTGAGGGGTCATTATGGTGATGAGAATTTGGAGAAAGGAGGGATAATCAGGTCTGGTGGGAGTTCATGCAGGGTAGTTTTCACTACTAAAGGCACAGTGCCTGGGGCTTTTTAGTGTGATGAAAATGTTCCAAAACTGATTGTGATGGTGGTTTCATAACTCTGAATTTATGAATATACTAAGAACCAGTGAATTGTATACTTTAAAAGAGTTAAGTGTGTGAATTATACTTCAATAAAGCTGTATTTTTTTTTAAAAAAGGTCACATGCTATTTGATTCCATTTATATAACATTCTTGAAGTAAGAAAATTATAGAGATGGGAAACAGAGTAGTGGTTGCCAGGGGTTAGGGACAGTGGTGAGGAAGAGGATGAGTGTGATGCTAAAGGAGTAGCACAAGGGAGATCTTTGTGGTGATGGAATAGTTCTGTACATATCGTTTTTTAATATAAATTTATTTATTTTTGGCTGCGTTGGGTCTTTGTTGCTGTGTGCGGGCTTTCTCTAGTTGCGGCGAGTGGGGGCTACTCTTTGTTGCGGCACGTGGGCTTCTCATTGCCGTGGCTTCTCTTTGTTGCGGAGCATGGGCTCTAGGCACGCAGGCTTCAGTAGTTGTGGCACGTGGGCTCAGTAGTTGTGGCTCACGGGCTCTAGAGCACAGGCTCAGTAGTTGTGGTGCATGGGCTTATTTGTTTCACAGCATGTGGGATCTTCCCGGACCAGGGCTTGAACCTGTGTCCCCTGTATTGGCAGGCAGATTCTTAACCACTGCACCACCAGGGAAGTCCTCTGTACATATATCGATTGCAGTGGTGGTTACACAGAGTCTGTACAGGGGATGAAATGGCATAGAATGACACACACAGATTATACAATGTCAATTTCCTGATTTTGATACTGTGTACAATAGTCATGTAAAATGTGACTATTGGGGAAAACTGTGAAGGATACACCAGACCTCTCTACTATTGTCCTAATTTCCTGTGAATCTATAATAATTTTAAAGTAAAAAGTTAAAATATAACTAAATAAAAGCAAAAAAAGAAAAAGAAAAGGAGTTAGCCAGCCAAGGGAAGGGTGTGGGTAGGAGTTGGGAGACCATTTTGGGGGATCGGGTTCCAGGCCTGAGGAGCCATGTGTGCAAAGAAAGCCCTGGTGCATTTCAGGGCCGACAGTTCAGAGTGGCTCAAGTGGAGGGTGGGATGCGGGGGGGACCGTGGGTGATGATGGGTGAGGTCCAGAGACACAGGCAGCGACCAGATCATCCATGATTTTTTTTTCTGTGGGTGAGAAGGAGCCACTGGGAGTATTGAGCAGGGAAGTGACATGTCAGCTTTGGGTTTAAGAAGATTCCTCTGGCAGTGTGTGGAGACTGGTGAAGGGAGCCACAGGGGCCGTCACACTTGGCTACACATACCCTGAGGATGCCCGGACAAGACGGCAGGAACCAGGCAGGCTGGGGGCAGGTTTGGGAGGCTGGATGCCGGATGATGGAGATCAGGAAACTCTGGACCTTGTCCTTGGAGGGCACCTCTGAGAAAGGGGCGGGGCATGAGTCCCAAACTCCAGAATTAAGACCAAGGGAGCTGCCTCCTGGTGATGCAGGTCCCCTTGCTGGGCAGATTCAGGGGCTGATGGAGGCCAGTGCCACACATCTCCAAAGTGGAACGGAAGACTTGATTCAGGCCCTGATGGAGGTCGTTTGATTCTTCGATTTCTAGACATTAGCCACGTGATATTTAATTCACTGAATAGTGATCGTTAATTGCATCCCTGATGTTCATTCATCTTTCCAGAAGGAAGAGGAAAGGAAGGGAAATCAGCATTTATGAGGGTCTTCTGTGTGCCAATAACAGCGGCAGCCACAATTCACATTTTTGAGTAATTCCTTCGAGCGTTTCACTGGGCTAGGTGCTTTACGTGTGTTACCCCTACCTGGCTGGTACTATTACCATCCCCACTTCACGCTAAAGGAAACTGAGGCACAGGCTATACTGGAATGGCAGAACCTATCCAGGGTCTGGGCTCTTGACCTCCCTGCCATGCAGGTGGTGTCTTGGTAGAATCCTGCCTTGGGGTTGCCCCTCTCTGGCTCTGAGAAGTTGGAGGTGGCCCCTGGTTCTGGTAGGAGGGGAGGGGACACCTGGACATGATGACCAGCTCCTTGGTAGATAGACAGAAGCCCCAGGCCTGCTGGGTAGTCTTGTGCCAGGCTTGAAGTCTGGGGAAGTCCCAGGCTTCCGGCCCACCTCTGCACCCCATCCTACCCCCATCGCCCTTTCCCAAGCACTGCTAGGCCAGAGACCTCCAAGAGCAGAGCAGAGAGCTGGATATCCAGCGGAGCAGGTGGACATCAAGCATAGGGATCCTGAGGCCAGGCCGCCTCCAGAAACTTCTGCAGAGGCAGTAGGAAGAAGTGAGGGGTGCCACTCCCTGGACAGTGCTCCCTCCTGGGAAAAGTAGCCAGGGCAGAGGAAGTTTCAGGCCGCTCCCTGATCCTGAGTGACTGTCCCCAAGGGCTGACTTCTTTCTTCTCAGGGAGTTCCTGACTGCTAGAGACTAGAAGTAGAATTATGAGCTCACCTTTGGCCTCCCTTGGCAAGACCCGGCGAGTGCCTCTGCATTCGGAGCCTGTGAATCCGGGGTAAGGAGCTGGCCTCGTAGGATCTTTGTGTCCATGCCCCTGCCTCCTCCTGGCTCCTCCCGTGGACTAGGAGATTGACTCCTAGTGTCCTGAGGAAAACGATAAGAAGTTATGTATCTCTCTCTGATCACCTTATCTTTCTCGAACCTTCTTCTGGGAGGCTCTCCATGTGTCTAAGCACACGCTGGGCTGTGCCATTTAGTGAGGTGGTGGCATCCATCTGTTTATTCATTGGTCATGAATTAGTTCTTCAAACGCTGCTGGCCCACCTGTTCCAGGCCCGGCCACATGCTGGGCTCTCAGTGAAGAGAATCCTGTTTGTTCATCTATCAGTTTCATCTTTTCAAAGCATTTTTTACCTCTCTCCTTGCTCTTCTGAAGCCCACTTTGAGTCATTTGCATCATGGCCAAGGAAGTCCAGAGAGGTTAAGTGACAGGCCTGGGGTCCTGCAGCCATTTCAGAGCAGAGCTGGGGCTGGGCTCCTGGGCTTGGGGACTCTTGTAATCTTCTCTCCAAGGCTCTGCCCTTCAGCTCTTCACCATCCTTCTTTGTTGGGAGGAGTCGGACACCCTGAAGCCTGCCCCTTGGCTCACCCCCGGGCCGGGATGGGATTTGGGGGTGGATGTCCTCAGGAGACACCTTCTTTAGGATTGATGGGGGACCTGGTGCCAGAGCCTCCCCCGAGGGCAATCCAGGGGGTCCTAACTTGTCTGTCTTCCTTCTCCTTCCTGCCCCATTCCCAGGAGGCGAGATATAAAAATGTACGGAAATGGTAAGTGTGGGCTCTGCCCTCGTGTCCTCCTCATGTCCTTGCAGTTGGGCAGATGGAGAGAAAGAGCGTGATGAGCTCCCGTCAGCCAGAGTGGCTGGCCAACTGCAGTGCTATCTGCAGCTCTCGGATTTGGACACCCCACACCCTTAGTGGAGATGTCATCACTAACATTTGAACCCCTCCACTCACCGTGGGGTGGGCCATGAGGGGGGCAGACCCCAGCCCTCCTTCTCCGACAGCCACCTGCAGCCCATTACAGCCTTTTCTCCCTGAAGCCCAGTCCTCACGTTGCTGCCCTGCCTCCCGCAGGCTCAGACCTTTGCATCCCAGCCCTCCTTTAGCCCCCACCATGGTGCTGGCATTGGCCACCCAGGTCCCCCTAGGGAGCCAGGTTGGGAGAACTCCAAGAAGAGCCTGTTCTGGTTGGATCCTTGCTCTCCAGCGTCCCAAGTTTTCTATCCTCATATGCTGGGGGACAGAGAACAGGCTGCTTCATCTTGACCAGGGCCCAGGGCCCCCGTTTCGCCTGGGCTTCAGCCCCAGAGCAGTGACCTGGGCATCCCTGTCTGCAGAAGATGAGGTGGACGTGCTGAATGACGCACACGGCTCAGAAGAAAGGATCTCTGTTCCTTCCTGCTATGGTGGCATAGGTGCCCCTGTGAGTAGGCAAGGTGAGTGCAGAGGCCCGAAGGGGTCTGTGTCCCTGGCAGCAGGAGAGGCCCCGGGGAAAGGGAGGCCCTGAGAGGCATGGCACCTTCTCCCACCTGCTGGGTCAGAGGAGCTGCTTCTACTCCTGGCTGACTGTGGCCCTGGGCCTGCACCCCAGACCTGTTCAGAGCCTGGCTTGGCGTGAAGCCACACGCAGGTCCGGCCGTTAGCTCAGGAGGTCTGGCAAAGCCCCAGGGCGGGCTGTGGCTGGCACCTCTGGAGTACACCTGGCTGGAATCCCCATCAAGAGTGATGTCAGTGGCTCTAGGATTCAGGGTCCAAGAGGAATGAAGGGCCTGAGGGGGAAGCTCAGCCTCCGGGCATCTGCTTCCTGCTTCCGCAGGGCTCTGGACAAGGCCCAAGTCCCCTTGACAGTCCCCCTAGCCTGACCCACACCATCCGCCAAGGGCTGTGGCAACACTGCAATCGTGGAGGTGTGCAAGGTAGGATGGGGCTCACTGGGGCGGCTTCCCAGAGGAGGTAGGACTGAGCAGTCCTGCGCACAGGGGACTCATGGGCTGGCAGGGTGAGCTGTGTGGTGCACTGGGCAGGGGCAGGGTCTGAGCTGGGAGTCTGGGGGAGCTGGGGATGAGGTGAGAGTTTTCCACTAGCTGTGATATCTTGGGTAAGCAGCTTCCTGTCTCTCTGTCTCCGTTTCTGTCTCTCAGTCTCTGATCCTCCACCAAATGCCCCCTCCCCTGTACAGGTAGGGAGGGGTTGAGGTGGAAAAGGAGACCGGAAGAGCCCGGCCCCACAGCCATTCAGTCACAAAGCCAGGATCTCCATCACCCCAGGGGGGATGCTTTCAACAGCAACCACAGAAACTGGCTGTTCCCCAGGTCTCTCTGCCTCTCCCCCGCCACCACCCCTCAGCCCGCTCTTAGCCAGGGGCTGCCCCTGCCAAGCTCACAGTCAAGGGCTTGCCTGTCCCGTCTCACTTCTCTGCAGGGAAACATTCCACACAGTTCCCTGATCCCTCTTCTCAGGACACCCCGGGCTCTTGGCCTCCATAACACGGCCTCCCTGCCATCCTCCTGCCTCCTAGGCTCTTCCCTCTCGGCTCCCTGCCAGCTCCAGCTTTTCCATGTGATGTTCCTCCTGCCTGGGATCTCCTCTCTCTCTCCACTCTGCCTCAAACATGTGCTGTCATCCGTGTGCTGACAGTTCCCAAATGTCTATATATCAGTTAAGAAGCTTTTGACTAAAGTCAACGAAAACCCTGATTCAACCAAGGAACATCAGGGGGCTTTATTATCCCACATACTAAGAAGTCCTAGGGAGACAACAGCTCAAAGACATGGTCAGAAGTTCAGGTTTCTCCAGCTTTGCACTGAACCATCCTTGGGCCTGTCAGCTCCACATGGTCACGTGGTTAGAGCTACACTTCCGGCTTCACACAGAGAGAGACAACATCCAGGGGAAGAAGGGGGCCTGTTTCTTCCCATGTGTCTCTCTTGTTTTCTTTCACAAATGTTTTAATTTGAAAATTTGTCAGCAAACAGAAAAGTTGAAATAATAGTACAGCAAACACCCATACGTCCTCAGCCTAGGTTCAACAGTTAGTGACATCTTGCCATATTTGCTTTCTATCCATATACACATATGTTATGAACACAAGTGTATTTTTTGGATGAGCCATTTAGAAATCAGTTGCAGATATCATGACATTTCAGCTCTAAAGTAAATACTTCCCTTTGCATCTTCTAGGAGTAAGGAAGTACATAACCACGATACTGTGATCTCACCTAAGAATATGAACAATCCAGGAACTCTCTAACATCCCAGTGTTCCAAAACATCTCTCATAGCTTCCCCCCCACCACGATTTAGGTTCTAATTGAGGGTCATGCACTGCATTTGATTGTTATACTTCTTTAGAGCAGAATCCCTGCCTCTTTAAAAAAATGACACTTTTTGAAGCGTCCGGGCTACTTGTCCCGCAGGATGTCCCCCGTAGTGATTGGTCCGGTGCTGTTTAACTTGCTCCTCTATCCACCGTATTTCCTGTGAATTAGGGGCGAGATTAGAGGAGTGACTCAACTGAGAGTGAACTTTTTTTTTTTAATATTTATTGGAGTATAGTTGCTCTAAGGGTGAACTTTTTGACAGCGTTTCAAGGTGATGTAACCCGTATGTTGTACCACTCCCTCGTATATACATCTTCGGTGCATTACAGAATGTCTGTGCCTCAGTTTCCCAAAACAGTTCATTTCCTCAGAAAAGCTGACATATGAAAAGTGTGTAGAACTGTCCCCATTATCTCGGTGGCAGCAGTTGTTACCACCCTTATTTCTGCTGCTGGGGAGCCCGCTACCTCTCCCCTCCCCTGGACCCCCCTCCCTCTCCCCTTCCCTGGACCCCCATACCTCAGCCTCAGCTCAAGGCCCAGGCTCTAGGACTTTGTCTGGTTGGCAGTCCCTGTGTACCACGACTCGGAGTTGATGGCCACCATGGCGAGGAAAGTGCAGGATCTGGAGCGGCAGGTGAAGGCCCAGGCGGATGAGATGCTCTCCAAGGTGGGGCCCCAGGGGGGAGAGGGCCAGGGTCTGGTCTGAGGGGTGGAAGGGCCTGGGCTAGGGAGGCCAGTGAGGCTACTATTGCAATAGACCATGGTGGATGGGTTCTAGAACCATCTCCCTGACCAAACCGCCCAACTCGAGGGCCAGGTCTGGCCCGGGACTGACCTGGGTCCCTGTGACCTGAGCAGAGAGGCTAGGGGTCTTCTCCACACCTGAGCAAGGCCCGTAGACCTCAGATTGGGTGGCAGCGGTGGCTGCTGAGTGCTGGGCACTTGGGGATGCCCACCCCCTGCCCCCACCTCAGTGGGACCACAAGGGCCATCTGAGCACCGGAGCAGTGCCAGAGCGGGGCAGGGGCTTTAAGCCGGGTCTTCCCATCTGGAAGGGGCTCCCTTGGGCTCTGGGAACCACCAGGTCTGCTCCCCTCCTGTCTCGTTGCTGCAGGATCAGAAGATACGGGCCTTGGAGGAGCTGGTGGAGACCCTCCAGGAGCACCAGGGTAAGAGGCCCTCTGTGGGCTGGTCAGTCCCCCTTTGTACCCCCTGGGCCGGCGACCTCTGGGTATCAGGGCTTCGAGAGCATCAAGCTGAGTCCTGTGGTGGAGTCTGGGCAATGGAGCCCAGAGAGGAACAGTGACACCCAGGGCAGTGCCCTTCTGTGTGGGACTGAGTCCCCCGAGCGCAGCCCTAGCCCAGCCCTGAGCACAGGGCCTGCCAGCCAAAGCCTGGAGGAAAGGCAGCCCCGTCAGGAGCCTTGCTCGGTGGGCTGGTGGCCTCCCGAGAGTCAGGGCCTCCCCTCTCAAGGTCAGGGCGAGAGGCCAAGAGGTGCTTCTCCGGGGATCCCTCGAGTTCTCGTGGAGCAGCTTCTCCAGATGACCCTCAGGCCAAAGCTCTTGTCATGGCCAGAAGTGGCCTGGCAGCCTCCATGCGGGGGGCACAGGAACCCCTCCCCGTCTTTTCCTGAAGGCACGGTGACCCTGCAGCGGCAGGAAGAGCTGGAGACCACGTGCGCGCAGCTGCAGCAGCAGGTCGGGGAGATGGAGGTGAGGGAGGTGCCGGCCCAGGGCTGTCTGCCCCCAGGGACTGGGTCAGAGCCCACCTCTCTGGGGTCTCCTCACCGCACATCCCACACAGGGGCCCGGGGCACCCCCCATCCCATTTCAGGCTTGGGCTAGCCCCTCCCTCTTCCTCAGTGTCGGCTTGAACTACTCTCCCCTCCAGCCACGGGGACCTGCCTCTGCTTCTTTGACCACATCAAGCTCTTTCCCACCTCAGGACCTTGGTCCGTGTTGTTCCTTCCACCTGAAATTTCTTTTTCTACCTTCCCCTGGCGAGTTTTCACTGATCCTCAGTCTCAAGTCAAGGTGGGAGCCCTTTCCCAGGGGACCCCCTTCACCTGTGACCAGGGCAGGTGCTCCACTCTCTCTTCCTCTGGGGACCGTGGACCCCACGAGGGAACGAGGGAGGGAGCACTTTTCTCCTGCTCGTTGCTGCGCGCCCAGGACCTGGCAGGGGCCTGGCTGTGCGTGTTTACTGCGTTGGTCATGGCCATTCCCTGCCTCTGGACGTGGCATCTCACTAACCCAGTGTCACCTTTGTTGCCATCGTTCACACAGCAAGGCTTGAGCTGGAGGGACCCCAGGCTCAAGGGAGGGTCCTAGGCATGCATACATCCTCAGGGCCCCCCACTGCCTCACCGGCCCCACCAGAAGCTCCTCCTGGGGTTCTAGCCTCTCCCTCTCCACACCGAGTTGCTTTCCAAAGCCCCAACCTAATTTAAGACCACAGACGCAAACCCCCAAGCAGCAGCTGCAGCTGAGGGCCCTTCCCACCCAGGCCTGTGCATACCCCAGGGCTGTGGGTAAACAGCTGCTCCCTGAGCAGCCTGCTAGGACTGCCGGCAGCCCGTGGGGCTTCTCTGAGCAGCTGCCACAGGAGTCAGGGCTGCCCCCTCAGGGCAGAGGGCACTGGGGCTCCCACATTCTCGTTGTTCACATGTTTATTGCTTCGTTAATTTAGCAAACTCAGACAAAGTATCTCCTGTGCGCCCGGCACCGTGCCGGGCACTGGGATGCAGAGAGGGTCCCTGCCCTCATGGCACTGACACACATAAACAAGTACACAGGAAGAGACACAAGTACGGAATATGGTGAAATATTTAAAAGGGTAACACATTAGAGACTAGCTGGGACGTGGGCCACTCCCCGCCTTGGGAGGTGGGAGCAGGGAGGCATGACTGTTTGGGCCAAGTTCATTTTGAGGTGCCTGTTGGACATCTAAGTGTAGATGGCTAGAAATTTGAAACTGAAAAAGAACAACATATGTTGCAAGAGATGAAGGCAGAAGTGTGCCCGCTGGGTTAGGCAGCAGGCAGGTTGCGGGGGGCTGCTTGTTAGCCGTTGCAGTCAGTTGTGGAGATGGAAGCCAGGCTGGAGTGGGTTGAGGGAAGGAGTGGAGGTGAGGAAGCAGCAACAGGAAGCATAGACAACTCAGAAGTTTTCCTGTGGCAAAGGCGCTGGGCGGCCAGCCCTAGAGAGGCCACGTGTGGGACATGTGGGGGGACATGTCCTCTCAGACCTGCAGAGCAGGTGTCCCTTCCTCTCCTCCCACTCGGGCCAGACCCACATGGCTCCCCGCCGCCATAATGGCTGACTTACGCGAGTTCCTACTTGTGCCAGGCCCTGTGCTAAGGACATGACGTGAATTACCTTAGTGAGTCCTCACGAGCTTCATTTTACAAGGAGAAGCCTGAGGCTCTGGGAGGTGAGGTGGCTTCCCAAGGCCACAGCCAGGAAGTGGCCAAGACCCCCGGGCCCATCGCCCCATCCAGTGGGCTGGGAGCGGAGGCCTGAGGCTGGGGGCTGGGCTGATGCCGCCTTTTCCCCTGGTAGGGGCTGAGCTGACAGTGCCCCCGACATCTCCCTCTTCTCTCCCCACAGCGGTTCCTCGGTGACTACGGCCTGCAGTGGGTGGGTGAGCCCATGCATGAGGAGGACTCGGAGGATGGCGAGAGGGACTGGATGACAGCCAAGAAGTTCTGGAAGCCAGGTAAAGTCGGGGTCCACCCTGGACCCTCCTGCAAAGGGAATTCCCCTACAGCTCCCGATTGCCCACAGCCGTCCAGAGGCCAGTTCATTCATGCCCCTTCTCCCAGCACAAGGTGCCCCAAGGCCTCCCACAGCTTGCCACTGACACAGGAGCAGGAGGGAAAGGCCTCAGCCTCCATCCCTAACCACCTAACCCTAGACTCTGCTTGCTCATCTTTCTAAGGCTCCAGGGACCCAGGGATACAAAACGTAACAAGACCTCATTTGTCTCAGGCACCATAGTTTACAAAATGTCACCCATTTAAAAGCTGTGGCCTTTAGAAGCAATCCCCCTGCTTTGGAAGCTGGCCCTCAGGCCAGGGGCTTGGTCCCCTCTGTGGACTCCCTTTCCAGGTTCATTTGTAGCAAACTATTGAAATCTACCTGCATCTCTGGGCCTCCACCACGTTTTATTTTTAACTCAACTGCTAATATCCCGAGGGATGCACTCCAGAGATTTGGGGCCATAGAACTGGCTACTTCCTTTATATATATACTTTTTCTTTTTTGGCTGCATTGGGTCTTCGTTGCTGTGTGCGGGCTTTCTCTAGTTGCGTTGCGGCGAGTGGGGGCTACTCTTCGATGCGGTGCGTGGGCTTCTGATTGTGGTGGCTTCTCTTGTTGCGGAGCATGGGCTCTGTGGCGGGCGGGCTTCAGTAGTGGCTCGCGGGCTCAGTAGTTGTGGCTCGCAGATTTTAGAGCACAGGCTCAGTTGTGGCACATGGGCTTAGTTGCTCCGCGGCACGTGGGATCTTCCCAGACCAGGGATCGAACCCATGTCCTCTGCATTGGCAGGCAGATTCTTAACCACTGCGCCACCAGGGAAGTCCCAGAACTGGCCACTTCTGAAAGCTGGGTCCATTCCCTTCAAAGAATGGAGGTCATTGCCTGGAAGGTAGTTCTCCAGGCTCTGTTGGTCACACCTGGGTCCTCATCACCACCGCCTAACCCAGGTGTGACTTGGGTACTCGAGTTCCATTCTCTGAGCCTTCAGTTCCTCATCAGTAGATCAGTAGCTCCTCATCAGTGTATTTTTTCCCATGGAGTTACTACGAGTCAGTGGGTTGGACGCAACACCTAGCACTCACCTCGCATGTCATCAGCCCCGCAAGTGGGAGCTCTCATTGTTTTCCATGGTCAGAAGGCAGTGGCAGTCTCATGGGAACATGAGCTTGGCTCCCAGGGGACTGTTTGGAAGACAACTGTACTTTCTTAATTTCATAAGTTTCCTGCTGGGTAAAAACCCAGACTGAAAACATGAGAGTCCCACCTGCTGCACATTGGCTAGCTCCCCCTAAATCTCAGGGGAAAACCCCCTCACCCTTGTTTCAAAAACATCACTTCCCATTTGCACCATATTTGCCACTTTTAAAGCATTTTCACAAGTAGCCTTGGCACAGGCCAGGGGTTATTCCATTTTACAGATGGGGAAACTGAGGCACTTAAGCAGTCTGTTGAGTGAAGGGGGCAAGACTTAAGGCTGGGAGCCCACTGGGAGATGGTTACAGTCATCCAGGCCAAAGATGAGATGATGCCCAGCATAAGGGTGATACTGGTGGGGCTGGTGAGAAGGGGCAGAGCAGAGAGATTTAGGAGGGGAATCCACGGCCTTGGCGATTGCTCAGACATTGGGGGGGCAGTGGGAGGAACCTGGGATGACCCTGGGGAGCACAGCTGTCGGGGAAGATGTCCCATTTAGGACACGGCAAAGCTGGGGAGCTGTATGGCACCTGGGCCATGCCAGGAGCTGAACCCTGGGCTGAGTGCTATGGGAAGTTCTTCCTGGGTGAGAGGCGAGACCCTGCTAGGCAACTGCCAGAAGCTGTAAGGATGTCCCTTCCTGGGGTCCAGGGCCAGAGGCCTGCCAGCACTACGGACACACGCACGCACGCACGCACTCACACACACACACACACACACACACTGCCCCTGTGCGGTGAGCTGGGCTCAGGCCTCATGTGGCCTTGCTGACTAGTTGGAGGGCAGACTTCCTTCTGGCCAGTGGGGCCCTCCCTGCTCCTTTGGGGAAGGGGTGAGACCAGACAGCTGGTTTCTGGACCTGGTTCTGTGGATTCCACCCTCTCCTCCCAAAAAGAGAGCAGCCCCCAACTGCTCTGTGTCGTTTGTTTTTGCTCAGAGTACGGCTGTTCTCAAGCCCCTTGTTCTAAAGCCTGGCCACAAGTTCCTGATTTGTGTCTTTTTCTTCTTTTGGCTTTTGATTCTTCAACATGGAGGGGGCTCAGTTTAGCTCTTCTGACAGATGAACAACATGTTTTTCATTTCTAGCAGCTTTTCCTCCTGGGACTGCCCGCCCCCCTTTCCTGGCTTTTTCCCTTCCTCTCCCTATGGCCTTGTCCCCACGTGCCAACCTGCCCCTGCCCCAAGGGCCCTTGGGTCCATGAAGCCAGCCTCTGGCTGACCCTGATGCTCTGGCTTGTTTCTCTGGATCTCCCTCTGTTGGGTACCACTCCCCACAGGCCCTGGGGCAGCAGGCCAGTGTGTTGGTGAGCTGGGGCATCTGTATTAGGCAGACTGGGGCTGATTCAAACATTCTAGAGCCTGGGACTCTTAGGGAGGAGGGTCAGTTGGGCCCATGAAGGGGCTCAGGGGAGAGGAAGCCTTGCAAGGGCTTGGCCTCAGGCCAGATCATTCACCCCTTCCCACCAGTATGTTGAGTAGCAAACAGGATGCCGTGCCAGGTGCTTCAGGGTATGCGGAGACATGAAAGGGACAGTTCCGGCTCTGGTCCTACCACCTTCGGGTCAGGTGTTGAGCCTCAGGGCTGAGAGCTCCAGCCAACTCTGAGCTCCCCCCACCCTTCACCTCTGAGCTCCTCACCCCCCCCACCCCTCATCAAGTCCCTGCCCTCTCTCTACATCTCCCCTTCCCACTCCCAGCGCCCACCTCCCCAACCCTTTTCCCCAAGCCCAGGCTCCGGCATCTGTGTGGGAGCCTCTTCCCTCCCCTGCTCAGGAAGCCAGGCTGACTCCTCCATGGGCTGTCCCTGGGCTGCCCTTGGGCCCCTGGAACTGGCCTGGCCTAGACCCCAGGCAGGCTGGACTCCTGCCACCCACCCTCCCACTAGCTCGGTCCTGTGCTGTGTCCCCCAGGTGCCTTGCCCCCTTTTCTCCCCTCCTGTGGAGCTCAGCTCAAACCCCACCTGCTCTAGCACATGTGCGTGGAGTGCCTGCTCGGCGCCAGGCACCGTGCCGCCCTGCAGCTGCCCCGGGCGCGTAGTTAGGGGCTCTGCGTTGCAGTGAAAGCCTTAAAGGCTCTGGCTGAAGAGGGGGGCCTGGGTCAGATCGTACCCTGTGTGGGGAACCTGCCTCACCTCCGAGTCCACATCCTCATGTGTGAGGTGAGGAGATGGTACGATTGACCCCTAGGCCCTGAGCTGAGAGCACTGAATACCACAGTGTGGAGTACGTGGAGTGTTCTCTCAGGCGGACATGCGGTCGGTGAATGACGACCATGTCCATTTACTGCTCTGCCCCTGCTGTGCTCCAGAGAGCCAGCACAGGACGCGACCCGAAGGCCAGGGCACGTGCACATGCAGGCGATTCACAGGCATTGCCTGGGTGCCCTTGGCCTGGATGGTCAGAGCCCGCTGGGACGATCCTCTGTACAGGATGAGGTGGGGAAAAGCAGCGTGATGATGAAAGCAAGGGCCAGAGAAGTCAGCTCCTGCCGAGTCACAGGCTGGCTGTGGCCCTGGCGGTGACCAGACTCTCGGAGCCCGTTTTCTCCCCGCCGGCTCCTCTGAAGAGCAGAGTGAATGTAGGTGAAGTCCCCAGAGCAGGGCCCGGCGTGCAGGTGGGTGGAAATAGCAGGCCTGTTTCCTTTCAACAGGCTTCGCCAGCGGTGCTGGGACGGGCCAGCTGGGGCACGTCGGACACTGCCGGGATTTCACGGCAGCAGGTTGTCCTCCCGGTGAGGGTGCGAGGGGCCAGCCCAGGGCAGGCTCACCACTCAGCTGCGCTAGGGGCAGGGTCTGGCCCTCCTCTGGGCCCTGCAACCCCACAGTGGCACTTAACACATGCCACTGTCACTCTTTGTCACCCTGTCTCCTTCATTCAAGTATGAGCCTGAGGAGGGCAGGACTCTGGGCATGGGCGTGGCCATGCTGCTCAGAGCCTGGCAGGGCACGGGCGCTGCGGACGTGCTTGCTGGATGGCGGGGTGGTGGGGTGGAGGGACGGATCCAGTGCGTCTTGAGCACCCACTGTGGGCCAGGCCCAGGGCTGGCTGCTCTTGCCTGTGTTCAAGGAGTGACCAGTGTAGCTGGAAAGACCAATAGGCGAAGAAAATGACAGCAGCCTGTGATGAGGGCCAGGAGTGGGCCCAAGGGCTCCAGAAACCCAGGAGGAACAGAGGCCCAGGCTCAGGGGCAGGGGCTCCGGGCAAGGCTTCTCCACGGAGGTGGTGAGAGGGCACCTGAGCCCTGTGATGATCAAGAGGGTGGGGTGTTAGTGACAACAACAGCTCTGTCTGCCAGGCACTTCCTGTGAGCCTCACAGCAACCCTGTAAAGTGGGGCTGTTATTGTCTTCATTTTATAGAAGAGGAAGCTGAGGCCCAGAGATGTTGGCCCATGTGCCCGGGGTCACACAGCTTGGAAGTGGTAGCCCGGGCTGTATGGCTTCAGAGTGTGAGTGGGGGAGCTTGTTGAGGGCAGGCTGGGGAGCCAGGGCTCTGAGGGTCTTGGGAGTTGGGCCAAGGAGCTTGGACTTGATCTCCATGCCTGTTCACTCCCCTTTTAAATAAAATCATGGGCTCTCAAAAGTTGGATGAGGCCTCAGAGATGATCTCCCTGCACTGTACTCCTCCTTGGAAAGGAACCCCAGTGAGCAGTATCTGAAGAACCAACACTGAGAGGCAAGCCTGCGTGGTCACTGAGGACAAAGGCTTAGAGTCACCTGGGCCCTGCAAGCTGCGTGACCCGGGGCATGTCACCTTACAAGGCCCAGTTTCCTCATCTGTAAAATGGGAGAAGATGACCTGCCTCTTGGTGCTTGGCATAGTAAATGCTGAGTCATCATCACAGTCAGTTCACCCCTGGATCTTGCGGGCAGGATGAAGATTTCTGTTATCTACCCATTCCCTGGAAAAGAAAGCTGCAGCTCAGAGAGGAAATGCCTCACTTGACCTCTGACCTGCCTCATCCCATGTGACGTGGCTGCACGGGGCCAGGCTTCTGTTGAGCACTCCTGGCTGTGAGGTGGCGATGCCAGGCTCTTCCTGCCTTATTCTCTTAGCCCCGGTTTGTCCAGAGCGGCGGTTCCTTCTCCCGGGCCCCTTGTGTCACCTCCATTCTGCTGCATCTGATACCTGCCAGGCCCACCCTGCTTTCACTTCTCCACCCCCGAGCCCTGGCTGAGAGCCTTCCGGGCTGATTTTCTCTGCCAACTTTCCTTTTCTCTTTCATTGCTTCTTGGCATCCTCCCCTGGGTTTCCACCTGCCCCTTCCCCTGTCGACACCTCAGCTCCCTGAAAAGCCCAGTCCCCAGGAGGCAGCTGGATTAGCAGTCCGCGCACCTCTGAGTCTTCCTGTTGGCCATGCTGTGTGGCCTGCCTTGGCCGAGTCATGTGACTTTCTAGGCCTCACTTTCCCATCTGTAAGAATATAGCGATGGGGGCAGATGTTGACAGTGATGAGCTTTTCTGCTGTTATTTTCAGGTTTACCTGGGTGTTCTGAAAGTACTTAGTTAGCTGTTAAAGGAAGATAGTGTCTCGATATTGTTCTGGCTCATATCAGGGATATCCAGGATGTTCTGTGAGTTTTTCTTGGGACTCTCAGGGACTCCAGGGGACCCCAGGAAGAGGGGGGCGCAGGTGCAGCCCCTGCAGCAGTAGGAGATGTAGGGGAGAAGGGAAGGCCAGCTGGGGCCTACCGTTTCAGCAGCCACAAAGGCAACAGGAAACAGGGCCGCCCACATCTGTACTTCCCCGGTACAGCCATTGCACCACTGTGGGGAAAGGAATTGGGTCCCCAGAGTCCTGACCCACATCCTGCCTCAGCCTGGCTGTCCTGGTGAAAAACAGCTTCCAAGAAGGCCCAGAAAGTCACCAGTGTTTTATAGGGTTACACCCTAGTAGATGACTTAGTTCGGGGCAAGATCCCTTCAGGACTGAGAACAAGCTCCTGGCCTGTCCCCCGGCAGCACCCCACCTGCCCTGTATCCTTTCTGCTCTGGCATCTGTCTTGGCTGCCTCATCACCCCACCTGCACCCCGTGAACCTTATGAACAGCTCTATGGACAACACATTTGTCAGAAGAGGAGGCCAAATACATGTGCAACCCAAGGTCTCCCATGTCCTGTCCAGCAGGTGTCCCGACCCTCACCTCTGTCTCCTGATGGTGCAGATGGGTGGAAAGAACAGACTCCAGGGTCAGTCCCCTCTTCTAACTTGCCAAGTGGCCTGAGGCAAATCATTTTTCGTCTCTGTGGGCCTGTTTCCTCATGTATAAAATGGAGATAAATAACCCCTGCTGTGTGGCCTCTGGGTTGGCCTGAGGTCCATTTGTGCACAGTAGAGCTGGCAACAATAACTAACACAGACAGATGCTTGTTGGAATTCTTACGTGGTCATCTTGGACCCTCACAGCCATCCTGGTCCTATCATCGTCACCTTCTAGAAGAGAATGCTGTGGTGCGGAGCGTTAAATGACGTGACCAAAGTCACACAGGTAGAAGTGGAGGAGCTGGAATTTGAGCCCAGACCGCTGGGAACTCTGCACTGTGCCTTTCAGCTGCTAACACAGTGCCTGGCACATCTGATCTGGGATCTGATCCCGCTCTTGCCACTTACTGTGTATGTCCCTAGGCCAGCCATTAACCTCTAACCCTTAGTTTCCTAATATGGAAAATGGGGATGTTTATAGTCCCTACAGCATAGGGTTGGTATGAAGAAATGGGATAATAGATGTTAAAACCCTAGCACAAAGTAAATGCTCACTAAAAGACAGCTATTATTATTATCTAGTGTTAGCTGTCCTTCCTCCTCCCCAGGTGGTCACTTAAAGAGATGCTAAGGGCCCTGCCCAGCATAGGAGGGGGCTGTGGAAGCCAGGGATCTGGAGCACACAGCAGCCATGAAAAGAGGCTCATGGGTGTCAATCCTCTTTGCCAGGAGACTCACTGGTACCCCCCGAGGTAGACTTTGACAGGCTGCTGGCTAGCCTGAAGGATCTCAGTGAGCTGGCGGTAGACAGTGACACCCAGCTGACGCCAATGCCCAGCAGAGTGCCACACTGTGTCCTTGAGCCCATCCCACTGAAGCTCTACCGGAATGGCATCGTGATGTTCGATGGGCCCTTCCGGCCCTTCCACGATCCCTCCACACAGGTAGGAGTGATGGGGAGGAGAGACAGGCCTGTGCACCCTCAAGCCACTGTGGTGGCCCACCCCCTGCTCACCATTAGTTGGAGATGATGGGCCCAGCTCACCCCCAGCACCCAGGCTCATGCAGAACCTCCAGAACCGCCCCCCCCAACCATGTCCTGGGACTCTGTTTCCAGAGTCTGATCCAGAGAGTAATTGGCCCCACGATCCCGGGGCCCAGAGCCTGCCATCTAGACAGGAAGCAGGGTGTAGGGCACTGCACAGGGCCAGCCAGGCCTCACCCTACCTCTCCCCCTGCAGCGCTGCCTCCGAGACATATTGGATGGCTTCTTCCCGTCAGAGCTCCAGCGGCTGTACCCTGACGGGGTCCCCTTTAAGGTGATGGGCTCTCCTCAAACCACTCACTCCCAGTGTGGGGATTTTGGAGGGGGTGGGAATGCTTCCTCAGGCATCACCTAGGGGCACTGCCCCACCTCAGAGACCCCAGTCTGATGACCTCCAGAAGGAGGGTGAGCCTGAAACGGGGCTGGGAAGGGAGCGGGAAGGCTGCCGTAGCCATACTTGCCGCATCAGCAGTGGGGAAGGTATGTAGCTGAACAGCAGGCAGCGCCCCCTTCTGGCATCCTGAAAGCAGAGCCCTCAGCTGCGTGGCACCACTGCCCCTCCTCCCCAGCATTCAGGACACCTGGACAGCCTGGGGAACGTGAGGAGTCCACGTAAAACTGTCCTGGCTCCCCCCAGAGGCTCCTGGAGCCTCCTGGTTGGGGTGGAAGGTAGTGCCATTGGGGGGCAAACGTTGGGACTAAAGGACTTGAGATGGAGCCGGCCCCCTGCTGTGGGGGCAGTCGGCAGTGAGATGAGGGTGCTGTGATGGGAGCACATGAGGCTGTGTCCCAGAGGGTGGTGCGTTAGTTCCACAGTGAGAGCGTGTGAGGGGGAAAATAGCGTGAGTCACGACCAGGGGTGTTTGAGGTAGTTCATGCCAAGCAGGGCTTTGCCCTCTCCTAACACCCTCATCCCTCCCCTCCTGGTCTGCTCCCGAGAGGGACTCTGTGAGGAGGATGTCAGTACTGTGGCTGCAGCTGGAGTGATGAGGGGAGCTTGCAGGAAGAGCAGGGCTCAGGTGGGTGGGAGCAGCATGAACTGCAGCTCTCCTGCTCTTTCCCAGGGCCTCGGTTTCCTCATCTGTAAAATGGGGATTGCATCAGACCATCCCTTGGGCCTATTCCTCTGTTTGGGCAAGTAGGGGTGGGCATGGAGCTCAGGGCTGAAGAGCTGTGCCAGCCGCTGTTTCCCTTCCTTCTTGACAGGTGAGTGACCTGCGCAATCAGGTCTACCCAGAGAATGGGCTGGACCTGTTCCCTGGCGAGGGCCGAGTGGTAGGCTGGCAGAGGATTCGAAAGCCCTTGGACAGGATGGAGCACCCAGGTGAGCTCGGCCCTGAGGCTGAGCCAGGTGGTGGGGGCACTGTGCAGGACAAGCTCCAGGTAGCCTCCTCCACCATCACACACAGTCTTTGCCCTGGCCAAGGCTCCCAATGCCCTCTCTGCAGGCTCCAGGATGACCGCCGAGAAGTTTCTGAACAGGCTGCCCAAATTAGTGATCCGACAAGGCGAGGTGATTGACATTCGAGGCCCCATCCGGGACACCCTGAAGGTGAGTCCAGCCCTGGCTCTCCCAGCCTTATTGGCGGGGTAGGGGGGCGGGGGGGGCGGCTTTACCATCAACCCTGGCCCAGCCTACCGGAGCAGCGGCTTACCTGGAGGCTCAGGCTTGAGGGCCCCTGAGGATGGCCTGGATGGAGAGATGAGTTCCTCAGAGCTGTTCCCCTGTCTCCTGGAAACGATGGAGCTGGTGAGCTCTCAAGACTGTCTCCTGGTCTCTCTGAGCTGGGACCAGAGAGCAACTGGCCAACGCAGGAGTGTGGCTGTAAGAGTGGGAAAGTCGGGAGTCTAGGTTGGGGGTGAGCCCAAGTTCAGGCCACCCTCTTGAGGTCCAGACCGAAATATACCTTCCTGGCCTTCACAGGTCTCATCATCCTCTCTCCTCACTCACTATCCTGCTACTCCTCCCTCGTCTCCACCTGTGAAAGATACCAAACCCCTTTCCCAGGACTCTGCCTTCACCACAAGTGGCCAAGTCCTGTCAGATCTGTCTATCCCCAGAACTGCTCCCGAATCCATCTCTTCTCTCCATTCCCCCCGCCCACCATCCTAGCCTAGGCCCCAGAGTGTCTCCCAGACAACTGCAGTGGCCCCTCACTGGCCTCCCACTTCCACTCCCGCCCTGCCAGCCATCCTCCCCCAGCAGCCTCTGTGCTCTTTTAAAAATGCAAATTGGATCCTGGCTCTTCCCTCTTGAAACCCTCCAGTGGTTCTTAGGTAAGGCCTGTCATTCCTTTCTGGTCCTCTTGCCACCTCTAACCTTTTCTTTTTTCCAGTCCAACCTGGTTTCCAGCTTCAGCCACATGAATGCTGACACTTTCTCAAATATATCACCTCTTCTCAGAAGTCTTCCCTGACCTATGCTCTCTGGAATATCCTTGCCCCCCATCCCATTTCTAAGGACTCCTCTTCATCCTTCAGTCACAGCTCAAGTGTCATTTCCCCAGGGAAGCCTTCCCTGGGGAAGCCTTCCTAGGTTAGGCACCCAGCCTGGTCACTGTGTGGGGTTCTGTCTCCCCCACTAGAATGAGGGAAGGGAACGATGGGGCTACCTCCCAAAGCTTCCCTTCTATTTCCTCTCCTTGGGCCCCCATTTACACAGAATACCCCCTCCCGCTTTGGCTCACTGGTCTCATCCATCCCTGGTCAGGAGAAGTCCCCTGTAGGGGTTGGGGGGAGAGTGTGACCGGCAGGGCCCAGGGCTCTGTCCACTCCATCGATGCTGCCCATTGTGTGTCCAGATCCAGGAGATCGTGGTGGAGACGCCTGCCTTGGCTGCTGAGCGTGAGAGGTGAGGGCAGAGTGGAGAGGTGAGGACCCTGGGACTGGGCTACCAGGGGGTATTGACGGCCTCTGGGTCCACAGGAGCCAGGAGTCTCCGGAGTCACCCGTGCCCGCGCTCTCCACGCTGCGCATCAAGTCTGAGAATGGCGAGCAGGCCTTCCTGCTGCTGATGCGGCCGGAGGACACAGTCGGTGATGTGCGCACCCTGCTTGCACAGGCCAGGTGGGCGCGGGGCTCAGCTGGCGTCTGCAGCGGGGCTCTGGCCCCACGACCCGGCCTGATTCGTTCTTCCCTGTCCCCAGGGCCGTGGAGGCCACCACCTTCGAGATCTTCAGTACGTTCCCGCCCACAGTCTACCACAATGACGCTCTCACGCTGCAGGCTGCGGGCCTGGTGCCCAACGCCACGCTGCTGCTTCGGGCGCGCCGGGCTCCACTGCCTGCCCCCGGCCCCGAATAAAGCGCCCACCCCAACGCCGGCTGCTCTGCGAGGCTCTCTTGGCAGGGCAGCCCAGCGCCCAGCAGCACTAGCTCCGCCGAGGAGGGGGCGGCGCCGCCCCTCTGTAACTCGAGCCCCAGCTGGCGGGCCTGGCCGCTGGGTCTTTGTCCTCTAGGTTCCTCTTTCTGCCCAGAAGGGCTAAGCTGCTCCAGGGGAGAGAGGGCCCGCCCCAGCCCAGCGCCTCTTGTGCCAGTGTGCAGATCCCTGCGCACAGACACGCGCAGGGTCACAAGCACGTGGGGACACTTCAACACTATGCATCAAAGCCACTGCCCCCACGCTGACAGAACTGCATCTGGGCACCGACTTCCATGACACACCCACACCTAGCCGAGCTGTTGGGACACAGGCAGGTGGCCACGACGCACAGCCGCGTTACTGACTGGCATGCAAACGTGCAGTATACACCAAGGTAATGGACACCATCACGTGCATGTGCACTGGAGGGTGACCCACCCACACTCTCTAGAAACCGTTGGTCCACACAGGTATGTGTGTGCTGGACATATATCCAAACACACGCACTGTCAATCGCACACAGAGGTGCCACACGGGAGCACAGCCTCAGCACAATCACATCTACCAGACTTGCTCAGAGCAGGGACCCAGGATGTCCACGCCACACCAAAGACACGATGCCAATGGAATGGAACATTTAATTGTTTCTGCGGTGCTCCCGGATGGGGATTGCGGGGCCTTTGGCAGAGCCCTGGCTAATGGAACCAAGAAAGGTGCCTATCAGCCAGTGCCAGGCAGGGTGGCAGCCTCAGGGCCAGGCTGAGGACAACCAGCACTTGGGCTGTTGCTTAAGACAATTTCTGAGACTAGTGGGTAAGGAATGTTGCCTTTGAGACTAGTGGGTAAGGAATGTTGCCTTTGAATAGAGAAGAGGGAGCTACAGTTAGGGGAGGCGGTAGGTCTTGGGTTGGGGGGAGGGGCTCCAAGGTCGGAAGGTTAGGAATAACGGAGTTGTCACAAGGTCCTTCATGGGTGATGGCTGGGGGGAACGTGGTGATGGAGTCCAGGGGGCTGACTCGGCTCAGGCCAGTTTCAGGAACTCCTGCAGTGTGTTTTGCTCCACAGCCTCCACGAAGAGCTCATAGTCCTGGGGGAGGGGACAAGAGGTGGTCACCTGAGTACTGGTGCTTTGTCTCAGGTCTGACTCTGGCTGGTATCCTCCTACAACACTCCCTCCATCCCCAACCCCCAGGCCCATACCCCACAGTACTGGTCCCCGTTGACAATCTGGGGTGGGGTGGCCTTGGGGTTGCCCGCCAGGGCTCGCATCTCATCCCGCAGGGCGTTGTCTTGGGAGATGTCCACTAGCTGGTACTGGATGCGCTTCCCATCCAGGATGCGGGTCACCTCGCTCTGCTGGGACTTGATCTGGGGGCAAAGGGCGGGCAGGGGTTAGTGAGCAGACTAGAGGGTTTATGGGGGGAACCCTGGGCAGAAAAAAAGAGTGTGTGGCCAGGAGCTTTCGTCCCCCTGTCGCGCTCCACGCCCTAGGGGAGGGTTCTGGCCACTAGGAGTTGGGAGGAGGAGTCAGGATTGTGGTGGTGTGGAAGGAGAGAGGGACCACCAATCATGAGGAGGGGAGTCAGAGTGAACATAAGAGAGAAATTAAGGGTGGGGAGAGCCAGGAGCTCGGCAAAGAGAAAGCAGGGCAGGCCTGGGTGGAGACGGGTAAGGCGCCACCTCCGCCCCCAGGTACACACACACACACACACAGTGGAGGAGAGGAAGGGCAAGATAAGGACATGGTCAAGGCTCAGCCTGATAGTGGGTGTGCAGACGACCCAGGATGCCCGAAGGTGGTGTTCAGGATGGGGCCGCGGAGCCTGCCCCCACCCAACTCAGGAGGCCGTGTCCAGCACCTCGCCGCCCCCGCCCTGGGGGCGGGTCCCAGGCGCCGGGTCCAGAGCAACAGGACCACCACCAGCGCTCTACCCCAGGGCGCGCACTCACTTCGCGGGAGCCGGTGACCGACGTGCTGTAAACGCGCAGGCCGCTCATGCTGCGGATGGGCCGACGGGCCGACAGGCAGACGGGGTAGCGGTGGCAGCAGCTGCACGGCCTGGAGACGAGGCCGCCGCGCTCGGGAGCGGTTTCCTTCCTGCTCAGCCCGCGAGTCATAGCTCTCGGGACCAATGGGCGGCACGGACAGGCGCGCGGCCGGGGCGGGGCCTGCGCGACCCCGCCCCACGCAGCGCCGGGCCCCCTCCCGCCCCCCTTGGGGACCGGGCGCACCGAGGACCCCTGTCCCACGCAGGGCCGCCCTTTTCAGCCCTCCGAGCTGGGGCTGACAGTGTGAGGCTGGGGAGCGAGCTGACGGCAGGAAGGGCCGGGGAGGGCGTGGGTGAGGGTTTGGCAGAGGCCTCCCCTTCAGCCTCGCGCGGGTTTGCTGCACCCAACTAACTACCCACCCCCGGTGCCACGACAGCGCTGCTCCGCTCCGGGCTTTTAAGTCTTGGGCTGTTTTCAAACCTAAAGTTCCCCCGCTAGGGAGCTTCGCTTCACGGGATGCCCCCCGACCCCAACACGCACACACTGCCCCAGGGGCCACCCACACGTAGCTAACCCCGCGGCACACCACAGCACGGAGGGCCTCTGATTAGAGATTTCCCCAGAGTTCATCTCCGCTCAGATCGGCAGGTTTAGACAAGTGAGGGTGGTGGCAGGAGACGGGGCCACACCCTCACAGAGCCAGATGGAGGCCAAGGTACGAAAGAGGTTTCTAGTTCTGGACTGGGTGGAGGTAGAGGTTGGTGTCAGGACTCCTGAGAGTCTGGGCCCTTGTTAAAGATACACTGCTGGTCTTGGGGTGGCCCCAGCCCCACCCCAACTCCTCGCAGAAGATGGCACAGGGTGCAGAGGAAGCAACCAGCCCAACATTGGACCCCCAGCCATCTGTCTGGGGTTGGACATGACACCCCTCATTAGTCCTCCCAGGTCCAGGGCTCCGAGAACAGCCCAGGAAGACAACCCTAGCTCCTGGAGGCAAACACAGAGTCCTGCCTTGCCCAGGGGAAGCCACTTCCTTACAGCAACCCACAGGCAAAGACTTCCTCCTCAGAGGATTACTGAAACTCAATGACAAACTTGCTCTGTGACTCAGGGCAGCTTCACCCAACAGAAAGTGCTGTGGGAAGATATCTTATCTGTCCCCACAGAAAGACAGAGGAGCAGAAGTGGTAGAAATAGACTTGAGGCTGGACCTGCCAAAGTTCCCTCCTTGCTGCTGTTTGGAGAACTTGGCTAAACACCCAGGCTTTGGCTCCAACAAGCCAAAGTGAGGGGTGGAGTACGAGCTGATGGTGATGGAAAGCAATGGGAAACCGAGGAGTCTGTTAAATTTTTATTTTGTAATCAAAATAGGCAATACAAACCAGTTGACATAACAAGGATTCATATAAATAACTGCTTATAAACTTTATGAGGAAAAATACCCGTGAGCATGGTGGCTGGGCTGCCAATACAGGGTGGAGACCAACCAGGCAGCTCTGCCTTTAGGAGGCAGGAGCCCAGAGGCTGAGGGGATGGCTGGGTGGGGCTGCTCTGAATGGAAGGGATAAGTCACTCCATAAATAAAACACAAACTTGTAAAAACACTTATGAAGGAGTCTCATTCAGGCCAGGAGTGAGGTCCAGGATGCTGCCCTGCCAGCCCGAAGCTTAGCAAGAATCTCCCAATGGCTGGCTCTGGACTCCTGAACTACTCAGTGCTCCCCCTTCCCCACACACAGCCTGGCTTGGCCTGGCTCCAGATCTAGAGGAGGCCCGGGGCTGGCCCAACAACCAGATACAAACAACTACCAGATGCTCCCTCAACGAGGAGGCAAGAGAAACCAGAAAGCAGAGGGTCCAAAGGCCCCGGAGAAACAACGAAAAACACTGAAAGTTGTACCTTAAAGCTGACCTGTACTGGGTACTCTGAACTCTCAAGGAGCCCAGAGCAGGAAAGGGAAAGGACCCCCAAACCCAAACACAAGAGAGGCACAAATCAGAAGGCCAGGCACTGGCCCCAGCCCCGGGGGGAAGGGGGTGAGCAGCTTGATAGTTGCCCTGCGGTATCCTGGGGGAAAATCCTGCCCAAATCCAGAACCATAGAGGAGTGAGTTTGCACTCAAGGGGGCTACCTGGCCAGCCTGAGAACAAAGGAGAAAGGGCTGTGCTAACCACACGACCAGGGCCCCAAGGGCACAGGGCAACTAGAGTGGGGTCTCCTGTAAACGGGCATGGTAGCACAGATGAAGAAGCCCTGGTTATAATCCCTGGGCTCCCAATTCTAGTTAGTACTTTGCTAAGGAATAGATCACCCTGAGGCATCTATGAGAACAAGAGCCCTGAGGAAGAAGCAGTGGGACTGGGCCTAGGAAAACCCAGAGCCAGCTCAGGTCCCAGGAAGGCTGGCACATGGGGCCTGAGAATTCTCAAATGGCCATTGTTACTGGTACTCAGCCTTTCCTGGCCCCTCTAAGGAACTCTGGGCATCAGCACGACCAAGGTATGGAGTGGGAATGAATGTGGAGCCATCCCAAAGGATGGAGAAAGGAGGTAAGCGGCCTGCTTGCCTTTGACGTCAGCCAGCAACTGGGAACAGTCTGTGAGGACTTCCCAGTCTACCTGCAAAAGTTAATTATTAACTCACCCTCAAAGGGTGAATCAGGATGACAGGACAAATGCAATCCAACAAGGCAAAGCCAGAGTGGGGCAGGGCAAACAAAATTCTCTAATCAGCCCTTGGCCCCAGATGCAGCGCATACCTCCCCTCCATCCCTTCTCTCTGGGAATAGCAGCAGACAGGAGGCAAGAGATTGTCAGGGCAGGACCTGCTGGACCGGGCTCTCAGCAGACCAGATTCTCCCTTGGGGAATACAGCCTGTCCCACCCCCAGCATTCCTCACTGTGTGACACAGTTTTCTCCCATGTCCTGGGCGTATCTGTCTGACATGGTGGTCCTTAAGTCCTCGATGTCACGGCGTAGCTGTTGAACCTCTTCTAGTTTCCTCCTGATCACATCCGGCTTCTGAAAATCTAGCTGAGTCCCTGCGTGCTGTGTAGCTGGGGAGGAGAGCATTTTGAG